AGAAAGAAAAGATTAACTGTATCTATTTTTTTTTTTTTTTTTTTTTGAGCAATCTCCCAGCCGCTGTTACATTCTAGTGTTTTCATTCAGTTTATTGCTATTGATCAGTGTGTATATTATATATTTTTATTATCAAGGTTTTTATTTTAATTCATATTAACCTGTATGCAAACTAACTGTGGATTGCTAATTTATATATAAAGGGGAGCACTTGGAGACAGCGTGAGGATTCCCCTACTTAGTTTACACTCTTGTAATCTAGTGCAGCCAGTCCATTCTGTGTAAGAAGCAATGAGTTTCATGATCTCCTGAGCGTCTTGTCACCCTGAGCAGATTGATCCTGCTGTTCCTCCAGGCAGCACTGACACCGCAAGGCTGCGTGAGATGCAGTAGGAGACAAAGCACAGCTCGTAGCATGGACTGATGGGTGGCCGAGCTCTCTGCTGTCCTGCTCCTGGCAGTGATGCCAGGGAGGATGCTGCAGCAGGAATTCCCATCTGGGGGTGACTTTGAGGGTTACTCTGCCCTATATCCTTGCCCAGCTGATGGACAGTTTTGGTTTTGCCCCACTCTCTCAAGATGCTCAGTGCTTAGTTTTGCAGCTGCTTTGGGAGGTGGGTGTGGGATACAGCGCTGAGGCACAGCAGTGCCCCTCGCATGAAGCATACCACAGGCAGCTTGTCTCTTTTTTTTTTTTTCTTTTTTTTCAGAGGACAGGCATAAACCTACAGAGATCCCAGTTTACTCTACTCTTTACAATACGTGCCGTAGCACATTTCTGACTGTGCAGCACTGCCATGGAGGCTCTGGCTGTGCTGCACACAAGTGCCGCTTGGACTGCTACGCCCAGGACAGGCTGCAGGACACAGGTTTTTGCGTTGAGAAGCTGCACTGCCCTAAGCTTCTGGGCTGGAGATACCATCAGCCACCTCCTCCCCATGAGCAGCACAGGGCAAGGCTTAGCTGTGCAGTTTGGGCTCTTCCAGGAGAGTCCCAGAGAAGATGGTGGCACACACAAATTAGTATTTTCTACTTCACGGTAAACAAGTTCCACTGTATCAGTGTGCACTCTTAAGTAGACTCCACGGTGTGTCTCCCGCTGCATCTCTGCACTGCAATATAGTTAACTGCCTCAGAGAAATAACTGCAGTTGTCTCATTTAGCTCTTCAGGATAAACTTTTAGCCTGTTTAAATATTGGCCGTGCGATGAGATGGATTAGTCAGAAGGCTTAAATTCTTCAGAGCTGCAAGTGTACCCTGTGTTGCAACAGCTAATCCCTAAGTATAAATTGCACACTGACAATAATCCGTCTATGCAAGCCTAGGTTTTTTCTTACTTTTGACTGTTCACTCTATAATTTTATCAGGTTTGGCATAGAACTTCTGAATGACATTTAACCAAAGTATCATGTCTCTGTGTGTATAGCATGTTTTGCTTCATACTCCTGAATTCTCATTGAATGTAAAGGGATCACTGCCTTGCCCCATTTTGTTCAATAAACCGCTGTATTTTGTTATCCACCACATCCTTCTGTCCCTCCATGTGCTTTTCTGGGAATACTGAAGTGGGTTACACAAGAGCAGGAGAAAACAGCGCTTCGTTCCACCCTTGGCTGCTGGAGCTTAGCTTCTTCTACCAATAATTATGTTCTTCCAATGTAATAGATGTAGCAAAACAACAAATTTGTATTTAATTTGATTATTTTGTGGCCAGAGAGATGGAAAAAAAGCTGTGTAATATCTTGGAAAGGATCTGGACTGTTTCATTTCCTGAGACTGTGATACTGAAAAATAAAGCAGTGTAATTATTTGCAAGGGTAGGATACTTTTTTTTTCTTCTCTGTTAACATAGCTTTTCAATTTGCAAAAAGCCTAAAGCAGTGTAATTATTTGCAAGGGTAGGATACTTTTTCTTCTTTGTTAACATAGCTTTTTAATTTGAAAAAAGCCTGCTTGAAGCTTCCCAAGAACACCTCACACCTACAGTGGTGGGACGGAAGGCAAGAAGGAAACATGGCAAATGCCCTGTGACTGATGTCTTCAAAGGCATGAGCTGAGGATGCAGCCACATGCAGCTCAAACATGAGCAGACATGAAGCCATTTCCATGTCACGAATTCAGCTGGTGACAGAATATGCTAAAATAAAGGGGAGGATACTAAATACAAACTCCAGATCTTGAGTCCAAACTGTAAACCTTTCTTAAATGTTTATTTACTCATTTCCCTCTGCTTGCCAAGTGTAACCATTGCATGGGGGAGCAGAGAGCCCTTTCACACCCCACTGCTGGGTGCACGAGGCTGTCCCGCCGGGGGCTTGCTTTCCCCAGGGGCTGGGTTGGTGCAGGAGTGCTCTTGACTCCACCTGAGTTCAGTTTTGGGCTTGATTAGGGGCTGTGTCACAGCACTACTCCAGTGCTTTCAGATGCCTTTACATCATCTTTACCTCCTACCAACTTCATCTCAGAGTCCCTTAGGTACTAGCAGGGAGTGGAGGTAGGGACCAGCAAAACAGTTAGAAAATTTAAAATACTAGGACATGGTTAGCAGTGGAAGAGCCTGGTTGTAAAAACAGGGCACGCGGAAGTGCCAAGAGCTTTGCCAACTTAGAGTTTATTGCAGCCTCTCGTCTGAAGTGACTGGGTTGGTCTGTTTGCTTTGAAAGGCCTCTTTCATGCCAACCTTGGCAATTGGTTAAGTGTTAGTCTGTGGTGGGAGGGGGGCCAGCTGGAGCCCTGAGTAGCATCTTTCACCTGCTGCTGGAATGCACACAGAGGACTGTATGTGGGAGCCACAAAAGGAACATTGAAGAGCTGTTGGGGACTTTTTTTTTTCTTTTTTTGCTGTATCAGAGGAATTGCTGATCTTTGGGTTTCCAAGTCACATGCAGCTCTCAAACTGTATGGACATCGGTGGTGATCCATTGTGCCATTGGTGATGGATCCAGGTTTCTCAGGTATCCTCCAACCGTGAGAGAAGATAAGCCAGCAGAGACTGCTTGAAGTCAGCATTGCTTGGTACCCAGCAGCCTAACTGCCCACTTGGCTGCTCCATCCTGCACTCCAAGGGAGGAGCTGAAGGTGGCAGCTGCCATCTCCCACCTGTGCACGTGTCCAGATGCTCATCTTTCACCTAGGTCCATGCTGGGTAACTGGGGGCTCTTGCCCAGAAAGACCTCGGTGTGTGTTGCTCGTGGCTTGGGAGGGCTGAGCCCTGCTTAGAGGATGCCTGTGGAAGGAACTGCAGGGTTATGGGTGCTCACACACAGCAGGTAAATGGCTTTTCACGTTTAGGTGGACAGCCAGGGCTAAACTGAGCTGTTGTGTGTTGGCTCACACTTTGCATTGGGAGCAGATGCTGGTGGGGAAACACGGTTCTCTTATCTGGAACTGATGGTTCCCTTATCTGGAACTGATGGTTCCCTTATCTGGAACTGATGCTCCTCTTGCTCATGAGGCATACTATAGCTGCAGAGCGACCCAAAGCCTAAACAAGCTGGGGTAGCTGAGATACAAATGACTTGGTGTACTACACATGGTATGTACGTACAGTTCTAAATTTGTTTCCTGGAGACCTGGTGGGTTACAGTTTGTCTGGAGATGGAGAGCATCCCTCTGCCGTGTGAGACCCTGGGTTATGCCTGAGACTATTCCATCTCATTCTCAATATTGAGCAAAACCAGGCCCTACATCCCAATCCTTTGTGCCATCCTGCTAGCAAACAAGTGGCAGCTCCTGGCACCAATCAGTTATCTCAGGTCAGAGGTACGTGTCCATCACCATGATTTGTTCTTTCAGAGACAGTGATCCTTGAACAGCACCCTGAGTCCATCAGTTTTATCCTGCTTCACCCTGGCCAGACTTCCTGACACAGTTAATGGTAAAACAGAGATTTAGGAAACGAGATGAGACTGCAAACCAAGTTTAAAACAAGTACAGAACTTGAGTCTGGCAGCTGGGTGTTTGTTGAATGTCCGTGCTTCTCTGACCCCAGAGAGCCCGAGACAAGCACCCAAGCGGCTGTGCCAAAACCTCCTCCTGTTTCATGATGGTGGTGGTGTGCAGCAGCTCTAAGCGCTGACACCTCGGTTTTCACAAAGTCTCCTTTCCCCTGGCACTGCTTTTGCTTTAGTAATAGCTCCCCTGTCCTGCCCTTTCCCCCAAATGGGCCGTCCTAACTTCACCTCGGTGACTCGCCTCATGGCCTTTCGCGGCCAGGCTTCAAACACAGACAGAACTAGCTCCTAGCTGGTGCAGGGGCTCCAGGACCACCACGTGATTTCTATTTATGTATAAACAGCGTAATGCCACGTCACAGGAAAAATTTTTTCCTGGCAATTTTAGATTTGGATGCTGTTTCATTTTTATTAAAACACAGTTGATACATGCAGCGCCTAATTATGAGTCAGAGG